GGGGTGGGAGGGGGGGTGCCAGGTAAGCCCGGGTGGGACTGGGGGTCTGGCATCCTCTGCGTCCCCTCCTGGAGCCACCAGCATCAGTGAGGGCCCTTCTCCTGGGGGAGAAGCTTCGTCGGCAGCACAGGCGTCCTCAGGGATGGCTGATCTGGGGATGCCTGAAATTGGGGGTGCAGAGGCAGGCAGCACCCAGCCCCCACCCCCCCGCCTGGCTGGAGTCACCCCATGGGTGGCAGGAGCTCTTGAAATCTCCACCCGAGCAGCGTGTGCATCTCTCTGCATCCCTCTCTGCTGCTCTACCTGGGAACTGAGCGTCCCCACACTGAGCTTCACGCCACTCGTGCTGTGGGGAAGGTCCCCCCAGAGCTGAGAGAAAGCTGTCCCTGTGCCAGCCAGGGGACAGTGCTGGTCCTGGAGGGGCTGGAGGTCCTGCAGAGCCCTCGCCCTGACCTTGGCACCCTGCAAGCTTGGCTGCTGGGGCAGGCAGGGATGCAGGCAGTGGCCCCCCCTGTGTCTGCACAGTGTGTGGGCAGTGTCACATCCATCCCAGCTCTGAGCAGAGACCAAACCTGTCCAAAGACCAAACTACTGCAGCTCTTGATGTCACATGTCCCTTTGTCACACATCCTGTGGCCTGTCCTTGCAGAGCTGGTGGCCCAGGACACTGGAGAGTGGGTGCTTCCCCCACTGCAGGGTGACTGATGGTTTTGGGGCACGGAGGCACTTATGTTGGGACTACCCTGTTGGTCCCCAGGCACTGGTGAGGGTGACGTCCCTCCAGAAGTGATGCTGAAGGGAGAGGGACCAGGGTTTGGCCACTCTCCTTGTGTTTAGACACTGCTTAATGGGGCTTTAAAGCCTTAACTGGACCCTTCCTTCATGGGAGGAAGGATGTGTCCCTGGGTGAAAGGGATGCTCTAGGGAGGACCCAGGAAAGGCACAGGGGAGGTGCATGTGGCATTGTCCCCTTTGTGCAGTCATGTCCTGGGCACTCTGGGGTCCCTTCTTGGACAGCCTGGCACTGGTGGGAGAAGGAGCTTGCCAAAATCAGCCCCTGTGGGTGCAGGGACCCCCACACTGCCTGCTGGGACCTCCCACCCCAGCCACACAGCACCTTTCCTGCCCGTGCATCAGCACCTTTTCTTTGGATCCTGCTCCTACAGGGCTCTGGATTCACACACAAAAAACCTTTTCTCACTTTTCCCACCTGAAAAATCAGAAGGAGCCCTGGGGGGAGGTGTGAACTGGTCCCTGCTGGATCTCCTTGGGAACCAGCAGTCCCACTGCAGCCACCTCTGGAGTAAGTAGGGACTCCAAAACTCCTCTAGGCTGTATACTCAGTGCTGTGTGCAGGCAGCAGATTGTGCTGGCAGGGGCTGGGGGATCTGTCTGTCTGTCTGGGAAGCCCCAGGAGAGGTTAAACACAGACAGAGGCTTCACAGAATCCTTCTGATTGGGAAAGACCTTTAAGATCATCCAGTCCAACCCTTAACCCAACTCTACCAAGTCCACCACTAAGCCCACATCTCAGCACCACATCTACATGGCTTTGAAGCACCTCCAGGGATGGGGGTTCAACCACCTCCCTCCTTCACCCCAACGGAGGGGGAGGCACAGACCAGCACCAACCAGCCCAGCATCAGGGGCTGCCCCCCACCCCCATTTTCCTCTCTCCAGCTCACAGCAGGCGCAGGATCCGCAGCATCTCCAGGAGCATCACCCCAAACGCTCCCTTCCCCGGGGGAGGGGAACAACATCCCACCCTGCTAGGTGGGGAGGGAGAAAAAACCCTATCTTCACTCTCTCTGTGTTTTCCTTTCCGAACGGCGTGGCGGGCACCAGGTGTCCAGCCACATCCAGGTTCTAGCTCGGAAGAAGGTGCGGGAGTACCAGGTTGGCATCAAGGTACGTTTTTGGGGCCCTCGCCCAGGTGTCCGCGGCGGTGTCTCTGTGAGCATGGGCAGCCCCTCTTCTTCCTCCTCCTTTCCTCTGGTTGACGGCTCTGCTGTTCCCCCTCTCCTTCTGCTCTCTCTCTGCAGGTCTCTAGCCACTTGCAGGTTCTTGCCCGGCGGAAATCTCGTGAGATTCAGTCCAAGCTGAAGGTACGCGTGTCCCCTCCCTGGTGTCCCCCCCCACCCCCCTGCCTGCTGACCACTAACGCCCTCAGCTCTGCAGTGTGCTGCTTGCTTTCCTTTATTACCTCTCTTTGTTTGGTTTTTTTTTTGGTGTTGGTTTATTTTTTTTCCTTCCCCCTCCCTCGGCTCCTGGGACCAGATGGTTTTTGATGGCATCACTGGGCGATGCCTGGAGAGGATGCCCAGAGGGGTTCCAGCAAGGTAGGGACACCAGAGCCTGTCCCTTTCCCCCACAGGAGGGTGAATTTGGGTGCCAGATCCCCTCATCCCCTCCTTTCACCCAGGCAAGGAGTCCTCTCTGGGGAAATGGGGGTATAAACCCTCCTCCCGTGATGCACAAAGGCTGCCCCCTTTTTGGGGATCATCAGGGGTTCACCCAGCAAGGGAAGGACCCCCCTGAGCAGCCAGTGAGGCAAAGTGAGGTTCATGCAAGGGGAGCAAAGGGGTTCTCATCAAAGCCCAGGTGGTTGCAAGCCTGCCCCCCAGCTGAGACCTGGCCCCACTCGTGATGGGTGCTGCAGGGATAGGGGCAGAAGCAGGGGGGTCCCAGGGGTCCCTGCAGGCTGCCAGCCTGGCAGCTGCTGATGCACCAGGGTCCTGGTATGGCCCAGGTAGCACCTCAGAGATATGGGTGGTAGCAAGTCCAGATGGGGCTGAGCTGCTGGGAGGGAACACACTGGTCCCAGGAAGGGGACATGGTGGCACCAGGGCAGTCTGTGGTTCCAGGGGCCAAGGGAGCCGAGTGAGGAAAAACTGGATCATCCTCTCTTCTCTGGTTGGCTTCTCTTTCCTTCCTTCTTCTGAACTGGAGCCCGACTAACCCTTCCATAACTGCTCCCCCCGAGCTCGGGGGGGGGGGGGGGGAGGGAGGATGATGATGGGGGGGGCCACGGACAGGAGTGGGGGCATCTCCAAAGGATGGAGCCCTGCTCGGGTTGGACCCACACGGTGCAAGGTGGGGAACAGAGTGGTCCCCACTGGGGACAGACAGGTCCCAGCTGGGCTGCACAGTCTGGGATGCTCCTGGGTCAGTCCTTGTGCTGTCACACTGGGAAGCATCTCCATGGGAAGATCCAAGGGGGACTGGCTCCCTGCCAAAGGTGTGGGAGCCCAGAAGACACCTCTGCTGTGACCTCAAAGGTCCCAAAAGCATTGCCAGCTCCTGGTGTCACCCATCCCGGGTGCTATGTCCAAGCCTCCAGCACTGAGGCTGGCAGCAGGGGACACTGCCAAGGCTGCCCATAGGTGCCACCATCAGAGCTGGTGCTGGCATTTTGACCCCCAAAGCTTTGAGCAGCTCTGGCTTGTGCTGCCCAGGAGCCCACCAAGCTGTGCCCTCCAGAGCCCTTCAGCAGGCACCCCGGTGCCCCATGAGCAGGGTGCCAGGAAGGTGCTGGGAGAAACCAGGAGAGGGCACCCACACTATTTTGGGAAGCTCCTGAAGGCTTGGACATCTTAAACTCAGCTGCCAAGCCAGAGAGGTGCAGCCAGGGATGGTGGGTGCAGCAACAGCAGAAGCCTTTGCACACACACACACAGACAAAAATATATATAAAATGAAATAAAATTAAGAAAAGGCTTCTTTGTGGGTTGGGCAGGAGAGATGAGGCAGGAATGATCTCAAGGGTCTGGGGATGGAGACCAGTGTCCATGGCTGTGCTCCTCATCTCCAGCAAAGCTGCCAGCAGGA